GAAATGATTCTTAGATTATTCCTTCTCCCAGCAGTTCCTTGCTCTAACTGCATTCCCTGGGGTGTGAGTGAGAAAGTATTTTCTTTAGGATGTGTATTGAATCTTTCCTTTAGTTGCACAACATCCCCTTAAGTATTGCTTTGGTGCAGCTAATTTCCCAGGATGGCCCACTGGAGGTCCTCTGCCCACTGAAGATTCTTCCTGTAATTTGTAGCCAGAATTGTTTGAGTTTGTTTTGCATTTGTGTGGCATGGACTGAAATGGAGCTGGTTTTCAGGCAGTGTAAGGAGAGCCTGAACTACAGGTCTGTCAGTCTCACTTCAGTGCCTGGTAAAATTATGGAGAAAGTTATTCTGGCAGTTACTAAAAAACACTTGAGAGACAACACAGACATCACTCACAGCCAGCATGGCTTTGTGAAGGGAAAGTCCTGCTTAGTTTCCACTTAGGACCAAGGGAAGGCAGTCGATGTGGTGGGTTTGGGTTTTAGCAAAGCTTTTGATACCATCACTCACAGCATCCTCCTGGATAAACTCTCCTGTGACTGCGCAGTCCAGGAATAAATGTTTCTCATCTCTTATAAAATTGGCTGCAATATTGTTTTTGTAAGAGCTGTGAAATTTAGTATTTACCTTTGTGCTCTGTAACTCTGCCTATGTTAATGACATATGAAGCCTCAGTAGGCAGTTCTAGTCCATTCTGATGAGTTTTCTACAGAGTTGATAATTGCTATGAATTTAGGGTGATCTGTTCAACCATTTCAACCATTTAAGCTTCATTTAGTTGATGAAATCTGCAACGGTCACAAAAAGTGGCATCAACTTTTGCATAATGATTTGTTAGTGACGATTTGTAGGACAAGATGTTCAGAAGGGTTATAATGTCTGCACAGTTCCTGGTGGCATTAGTGTCAACCCCTCACTTCTGGAATCTGTTGCTTAACATGACATAGGCTTTTGTGTTTTGGATGTGTCACCCATCTTCTGAAGTCTAACTGTGACAGAGTTCCCTACAGCTACAGGGGGATGTTCCCTCGAGCTTCCAGACCTGGACACTGCAGAAGGTGTGTATTTCTCTGTGTGTGTCTGACAGGTGAAGAAGGGAGGACAATCCTTCCTTTAACAATACCTTTATTCACCTCCCTCAAGATGCAGCTTTGCTGTTGAGAGCTGGAAAGGATTAGACACTGAATGACTGCAAAATTCTGTGCAAAACATCTGCTTTTCATCAATATAAACTGCTAGCCTCTGCCTTTTTCCTTCTGGAAGTCTGTCTTGATCCCAGTTTTCTCTGAGCAGCAGTTAATTCATGGACAGGACATTCAACTGTGGCTCCTGTACAGCTGGGGGTACTGGCTAATGAATTCTGCCTTGTTTAAAGCAGTGATCAGTCAAGGGTCAAACCTCAAACTCTGGGATGAGACCAGTTCAGATTCCTTGGTGTTTTGCTCACTTCCTAGACCAGCTGTATCCATCTGGATTAGGGATGTTGATTTGATTTTGTTGTTTGCCAGCAGCAATTTTGTTTCGTTATGATCCATGATAGCCCCAGGACTATTGGTGTTATGTTCCAAGAGAGCCCCAGGACTTATTTGCAGAAGTAGGTTAGTCATACTGGAGAGTAATTTGCAGTGTTTGGGGATAATGAGGAAGGATGATCTCACTGGAAAAATTACATTATGTTAATTGCTTACAATGTGAGGGTTTCTTCCCCTATTCTGACTGCACAGAAGGAAAAAACCAGTAAGTGGGAACTGAGGCTTCTTAATGATCAAATGAAATGACTCAAGATATTTTCATGTTTGCCTAAAACTCCCCCTGAGAAAGATCACTTTTGGTGAACAAAAATTCTACTGCAAGCTTAAATCCAGCTTCTGCAAGTTGTTAAGTTTTCAGCCCTGAAGAGGATCTTGTGGCCTCACAGTTACTCACTGCATGGGAACAATGCTGAGTCCCAACATTTCTCTGTGTCTTCACAATTTCCTGC